GTCAGAATCAACACAAAGGCAATGAGTTTTGTTTTCATCCATGCAGTCTGGACTAAAACACAAAACAAAACAAAAAAACAATCTAATTCGGGCTTTTTAAAGCAAAAAACTTCATGTAGGTAGCTGAAATACAAATATAACCTATATATGAAATAAGTGTACAGATTGTGCACATATATTCACATTACACACACACACACAAGAATGACAAATGTAATGAGACCACAATATTGCTCTTTAAGGGCTGTGCATCTTGTGTTTTCAATGGCCCTGTTGGTTTCAAATCAAATTCTACTGAAGGTAGATGCCATTTGCAGAAAGGGTGATCTGGAACTTTATCGAGTAGTGGCTATGAACAATAAGTGACTGATTTCAATAATATTTTTATTAGACATGACAAAAGTTGGGTCCACAAACTGTGAAACATCAGCAGCCTGGAAGAAACGATGAGCCAAGAGGCGTTTTCAGAAGATTAACATTGATATGGGTGTGCCAAGCCTCAGGACTCTACAGCCACATCTGGAAGAATGTGTTTGTGCCTAGCTTTTACTGCAGGGTAAATAAATACCACTCATTTCATGCATAATTATAGACCAGATAGAAATGAGAAAATCAAGCGAATCAGAAAATCGTACAACCACTGATATTGGGATAGTACTTTGAAACTTATCACCATAGGAGCAAATGAATTAAGCACACAATCATTTAATGTATTTTCTCTGGAGAATTACTCTCCTTAGTATTTATTTATGGGTGTGTGTGGGGGATGTGAACAGTATAAAACACCTAAGAAAATTTGAAATAATACTTATTGTAATATACTATTACAATAGTAGTTGAGGAATGGCATATATTAAAACTGGCCTTCAGTTCCTAGTATTGAAACTGGGTAATAGATAAGTCTGTCAACATTCTGTTCATGACTGAAATTTTCCATTCTAGACGTTAGAAAGAGGCAAACCATCATGGAAATATTAGAAAGAGGCAAACCATCATGGAAATATCAAGTTAATTCTGACTCAGAGAGCTGCTAAGGAACATAGGAGGGCCGCCCTTGCTGGTTTCTGAGTCTGTGAACCTGTACAAGAAGCCGCCTCCCTCTCTTGTGGTTTCAAATTGCTGAACTGGCAGTGCTGTTTCACCTCCAGGGCTCCTATGGAAATATATAGCCTCTGAAAATAAGCGTATTTTAGGATGCGAGAATAAATGGACACTGAGGATTGTTGTTTTTTAATTCTAAAACTATTAATGTCAATTTAGAGAGAATAGCCAGTTCTTAATAGACATAAGACCATATATATGGCTACATAGATAACCTGTATGTTCAAATGCAAACACAGCCCACCTGGTCTGTCCACGCAGCCCTGCACAGCATCATCCCGGTGGTGGTTGACAGGAACAAGAAAAGGTTACTCATTTTGGATGAGGCTATTGGTTGGGGCTGAGTTCCTCTCTGTCAACTATTCCTGTTAACAACAGGTTGACAGGCCAGAGCTACAGGCATCACCCAGGTAGCTTCCTGCCCACTGAATGTGTTCCAAAGGATGAACAGTGTCATGCAGGTTTGCCTTCACACTCCACTCCATTTCATGATGTCAGGTACCATCGTACAAAGTGCTAAGCGTTATGTGTTTTTCAACCTGCCATTTTTGCAGCAAACACTGGTTCGTGTAGGGCAGTAAAATACACACAGCCCAGGGTCACGCCATATGGAAATTAAGAGACGTCACAGTGAAAGACAAACCTGCCGCACGGCCAGAGGGGAAGAAGCTTCAGAAGTAACTTCGGATTCAGAGCGTCACCGCCTCTCTTTCGCTTCCCCCTGCAGACTGCACGGGTGATGCCGGCTGGACGGACGTTTGACCTGGGATTCGACAGCAGCATGGAAGCCACAGAGAGGCGGAGCAAATGCTGATTTATGAACGTTTACAGTTGTGTGCCTCTACAAGCTCTCATCCGTCAACAAATGTCACATGCTCTTGCGAACGCAACCAAAGAAGAGCCAAAGAAACCAAAATGACTTCGGATGGCAAAGCTCTCTTGTGCTCCAAATGGTGCCATCCTTTAAAGCTCATCAACAACTCGAGAATTTAGTGCAGCAAACAGGTGTGACTAGGCGTGACCAGGTTTGCACTCTGGCTTCCCTCTCGGTGGTTATGTAGCTTATGACTTGTAGCAGGCTACTGAAAGGACAGAGCAGAAAAGGCCCTCCTAGTTTTCAACCTGTGGGTCACAATCCCTTTGGGAGTGAATGACCCATTCACAGGGGTCGCCTGATTCACAACAGTAGCAAAATTACAGTGATGAAGTAGCAACGAAAATAATACAGGGCTTTCCAGGGCTGTAATCATTACCGCTAAGAACCCTGGTGGTGTAGTGATTGGACTGCGATCCACAGGGTCAGCAGTTCAAAACTGCTAGCTGCTCCTTGGGAGAAAGATGGGCCTTTCTATTTTGGTGAAGAGTTATAGTCTTGGGAATTTACAAGGCAGTTCGACCTTTTTAGTACATACATGTGGCTCTCCAGTAAAATTGGAAAAAAAATTAAAGGATATTTATTATTCAGATAATGGTGTTTTCATTTGTCTGTAAAAATATATTTATGGCTCTCAAATAATTTTTAAATGTAGGGGACAAGATTGGCTCTTTCATCTCAAAAGTTTGCCAACTCCAGCCCCTGCAGAAGTATCAACTCTACATTACTAAGATGTATTCAAAATTAAAAGACTCAAATTAACATTACAGAAAAATAAAAACTAAATGTAATCTTCATTTTCAAGGAACTAAATGAAAGGGAAGATTTGCATTGTTAACCAAACTCCAACAGAGAGCTTCTTTGGCACTTTCAGAGAAAAAAACAAAAACATTACAAATGATTCAGCGTGTGTAGGTGTCAAAATGTACGGCACTCCAAGTTATGAGCTTATATGAGATACCACCTCAGATGTCCATAGGAACCAGACGGCTGCCTCTGCCATTACCATGACTTCTGAGTATTATGAGGCTTTTTGTGCGTTTTTACCAAATCCCCACTTTCCAGAAATACATTTCTGGTTGGAAAATATTAAATAATGTTAAAGGACTACAATGCATATTGGCGATGTGGCTTACCCATTAACACATATGTGTGATCTGGAAATAAAAATGTAATGACTTATAAAAGCAATGATTTCAAAAGCATTAAAGAAGCCTGCTTCATGAAATTTCACTTGCTGATCAAGCAAGGACAGAAACAAAATGGAGAGGTATCACATGACGATGTGGGCCAACGCCGATGGCGCTGGGCAGTCGCTGCTCGGGGCTGCCCAGTGGGTTGTGAGTCACAGCAACCTCTGACAGCAGAACGAAGCACTACCTGGCCCCACGCGGCAGCCGCAGTATCAGCCTGCCTTCTGGGGAGGCTTCCTCTTGTTCCCTGACCCTTCAACTTCACCGAGCGTTACGTCCTCCTCCAGAAACTGGCTCCTCCTGACAGCATATCCAAAGTTCTGAAATCAAGTCTCATAATCTTTGTGATGGCACGGCACGCTGGCTGCTTTTGAACCAAGATAGACTTGCTCGGTCTTCCGTTAGTGCGTGGACACTCAATATTGTTGGCCCAAGCCATATCTGAAGTCATTCATCCTGCTTCAGTCTTTATGCGCGGTCCAGCCTCTGCATGCCCATGAGATGACTGAAAACGCCGTGGCTGGAGGCAGCTGCCCCGCACGCCTCAGAGTGACATCTTTGCTCTGTAGTGCTTGAAGGAGGTCTTGAGCAGCAAGGCTTGCCTAATACAGCCTTTGTCTTCTTGACGGCTAGTTGGCATTAATTATGGATCCAAATAGAAAAAGATCCTTGACAATTTCAGGATTTTCTATATTTATTATCATTTGTTTACCTACTGGTCTGGTTGTTAGGATTTTTGTTTGCTTTATGTGAAAGTACACTCTATACGATTTTCATCAGTAGGTGCTCCAAGTCCTCTTTGCTTTTGGCAAGCAGGGCTGTGTCAATGGCATATCACAGACTGACCATGAGTCTTCCTCCAATCAGATGGCTGCACTCTTCCGACAGCCTAGCTTCTTGGACTCTTGGTTCAGTATTAAGACTGAAGAAGTCTGGTAAGAGGAGCAAACTGCGACACATCCTTTCCTGAGTTGCAAGCATCAAGTAGCCCCCTTGCTCTGTTCAAAGGACTGCCTCTTGCTCTATGTGCTGGTCATCTAGAATTCCCATTCTTCCCAGGATTTGCCATCATTTGCTAGGATCCACACAGTCGAATGACCTTGCTTAAAACAACAAAAGTAAACATCTTTCCGGTACTCTGCTTTCAGCCGAGGCCCGCCTGGCATCAGCAATGATTACCCCTTTGTTACAAGTGTTCAAAGCAAGTCTATAAGATATGATTGTTATAATTCTAAAATGTATCATCATATTCCAGTAATTGCAGATATTGGTAGCAGAGACTCCCAACATTTGTCATAGACATTTTTTAACAGCTAATTTTCCAGCTTTCAGCAAGCAGAATTATTAAATGGATGAAAAGATACACAAATGGAAATTTCCACTGCTGAACAAGTCTCAATAGTATCGTTTTTTTGTAGCTTTGTAGCATGTGTAAATTGTGCCAGAAGGTGGCAGTGCTGAGCTAAAGAAACAAAAACAAAACAAAACTATAGGAAAGGTTCAGGCAGCTACCAGGGAAATCTTACAGCGGTCCACAGAGCCCAGGGACTGGAGAGTCCATAGTTACAGAATGGATTATAGCTACAGTTTGTAAAACTCTATCTGCCTAACCTTTACACTACAGGTTTATGAAACGACTCAAGGTTATTCACTAGAAGAGCAAGGATATTCAGTAAATTGCAAGAAATACCCACTTTATAGCATAGCCATCTTATCTGTCTGTTGATTTTTTTTTTCTTTTCTGTTCGTGATATAGGTATAACCCGAAAGGGAAAATCAAATGCAAACATCTACAGCACAAATTAAGAGACAGCCAGCGGCACATAGCTTACCATTCATCAGGAGAGTGGCCATAGTCCTCAGGCTCAGGGACATGGCTTCAGAGGGAGCAAGAGGAGGGAGGAAGAAAAAGGAGAGAGGATAATCATCACAGAAATTTGGAAACCAAAGTGTGACCAGGGGCAGTATGGAACTCCCGACGTTAGGAGAGCAAAGTTTTAGTTAGTGAATCTGAAAGAATGGTGGTTAGTACCGTCGGTAGAGCATGCAGCCTTAGGGTAACTTAAGAAGTTGTACAAAATTAACCCGTGGCTGAATTACGAACTTGCTTCTTCACCACAAGATGTACAACTCTGTACACAGAATACAGTAGCTGTACGAAATATTTGAACTGAGATGTTTAAATCCATTCTAAATAGACAAGTCACTCATATATAACATAAGCAGAATAAGGTGATTTGTTGAAATACACATGCCGATTGTTGGGAATAAGGTATGATACTCATAAAATTTGCCATGTCCATTGTACAAGCAGCTCTGACTACCCGTTACAGATAGTTCGTCAAACCAGTATGTTAAAAGTTAACCTCATTTCTAGTATTAAAGACATCAAGATGAATAGAAAATCAAGTTTCCATTAAATCGTAATTTGCTAATGGAGGCGTGTGTTACTTTAAATAGCAAGCATACCCCCTGGAATCCTTTAATATCA